ACACATACATCCTTTTTGTCAAAAATCAAGAAGAAAGGTTCCTAACAGACCACCAATGGAGAGCAGCCCTGGAGAAATGGCCAGCTACAGACATGCGTCTTCTGGGGCATGTGTCTACTGGGGCATGCACTCTAGAACCAAGGATAGCATCTTTCAACAGGAAAATCAGGAATGAATAACTTTGCACCTTCTGCAGGAGTGCAAAGGAGGAGCTCCTCATCCAGGGTAGGTTTTCAGACAATCATCCTGAAGAAAGGTCATTTGAAGACCTGGTGTTTGCTCACGGAGGCATCCTCAAAGCTATACGAGGGTCTGAAGCAATGTTTCCAAAGAGCAGGATGCCCATATTGGTTCCCACACAGCTCTCCCTCCTGATCAAACTGCACATCTCTGCATGTGTGTCCTACACACACACACACACACACACACACAAACACACACACACACAGTTACTCTGTTAATTCATTACTGTCCTATTCTCCATCTCTGCCTTTTCCCTGTAGTTCTTGCTCCATTTATGGGGACTCATGGATCCTGATCCTCAGAACTTCAAGCTCCAAATTACTCATATCTGCCTTTACCCCAAATCTGCTAACAAACGTGTCATAATTAACCAAGAAGTGGCTTCCCTTCCTCTCTGTTTCCCTTCCTTGAGCCTCACTTTGAATTGTATGAACTTTTACTATTTTTGAGAGACAGTCTCAGGTAGCCCAGGCTAGCCTCAAATTTATTATATTGCCAAACATGATGTTGAACTCCTAATCTTTTTGTTCTTGCCTCCTAAATTCTGGTATTACAAGCACATTCTATACTTCATAGCCAAGATTTCATGAACATTTGTGTCTGTATGTATGCATGTGGAGGCCAGAGAACACCCATGGGTGTTGTCCCTAAGTCCACCTTGTCTTTTTGAGACAGGTGGAATTTGGTGATTGGGCTAGACTGCCTGTCTAGGAAGCCCTAGGGACCTGCCCATCTCTGCTTCCTCAGTGCTGGATTACAAGCACCTGCTGTCATGCCCAGCATTTTTACAGAGGTGCTGTGGGTCAAACTCATGACCTCATGTTTGCAGGGCAAGCACTTCACTGGCTGAGCTATTGTCCCAGCCCCAGATCACATGAACTTTTGTTCAAGTCCCTTGTCCGCTCAGACGCCCAAGTGAAACGTCATAAAATGGAAATCTACTCATGACCCTTGAATCCTTGAAAGCCCTGCACCTCCCATTTCCAAGAGGATATAGAACACTTCAAGGTTTTATTTGTTTATTTTGTGTATACATATATACACACAAATACACACACACACACACCAAGGTTTGTAAGGGGAGTTCAGAGGAACACTTGCAGGAACTGATTTTCTCTTTTCGACACATGAATCCTTGGGACTGAACTCAGGTAATCACACATGACAGCACGTGCCTTTACCTACTGAGACATCTGCCTTATCCTAGAACACTTTTTTTAAATTGTATCAGTTTTAAAATTTTTGCCATTATACTAAGTATATAATAGCTTTATATCATTGTAATTTTTATTTTATGGGTATGAGTGCTTGCCTACATACATGTCTGTGTACTATATGTGTGCAGTGCCTGAGGAGGTCAGAAAACAGTGTTGTAGTCACTAGGATTGGAGTTACAGACAGATGTTACAGATTTACAGATGGATGCTGGGAATTGAATCTGGAGCCTCTGCCAGAGCAGCCAATGCTCTTAACCATTGAGCCATCTCTCCAGCTCCTATATCATTGTATTTTTAGCACACTTTAATTATATAAAACAATGGGCTTCACTGTGATATTTTCACACGCGTGCAAGCAGACTTTGACTGTCTCTTCTCTATTACTTCCTCCTGTACAATCACCTCTTCCACTGCTCCCATCCCACTCCCCAGGTAGGGAAACACATGGAACTTTCACAACTGAACCCCACCCCCACGGTGCCTACTGACACCTCTACCTCTCATCACCCTTCTCCCACACAACTCTCTAATTAGCCTTAATTTTAACTGAGCTCCAAATACTCCAGGAAAGAAAGATTTTCAGCTTCCATATAGTGATTCGATCATCCAATTTTCCTACCTGAAGAATTCAGCTTTATCCCCCCAAGACAGGATCACCACTGAAGCACTTCTCCCAAGACACACCTGTGACTCCAGCTTTGTTCCCAATTCAGTGATAAACTCTGCTTACATCTACCATGGTGATCATTAGACAAGACCACCATTAACCTGGCAACAGACACATTCTCTACTGGGAGAAACTATGGCCAAACAGTTTGATTTTTTTTTTTCTGTATATTATTATGGCCAAGTACCCAGGTTTCATGATTTAACAGAAAGAACAAATAAGTAAATAAATAAATACATTAGATACTTACCCCTGCCTTGATGTAGATGGGGACAAAGAACCACCCCAGAACCAGCAACAAGAGAAACGACTGTAACAAACCAAGGGCAGCGTGAAGTTAAAGGAGTTTGGCTTGTGACTTTATGATGTCATGACCTCTGAAGCTCGAGACAAACCAACCCCATCACTTTCCTTAGCTCCTGTCTAATGTAGTATTATATCATATAATACCTACTATGTGGCAAAACAAGCAAAAGATAAATTGTTTTTTAATTCACCTAAGATAAGATTATACAACCTTTGTCAAAATAATGGTCTTAGATGGGAGAATTATACATGAGTGTCAAAGCATTGAGAAAAAAACTTAGGAAAGAAAAAAAATATCCTTAGGCCCCTTTAAGTCTTGCCAAATACAGATATCAATATAATTTGGTATTAAAATGCAGATTTTTATGACATATCCTTACATAATACTGCTGTTCTTGCCACAACTAGTGAAACAGGTCTAAAGAGCAGAGTTATCAGGGTCATATATAGGAAGGATGTGAGCTTCATCAAGAGTAAAGAAATTCAAGGTTAAAAGCTACAAAAATACAGATGTCTGCAACATGATAGTGATACACATTGGTTTATAGGTCTTTTCTTCATGCCTATGGAGGCAGCTTCATTGTACAGTTCATGGCGCTATCAGATTAAATCCCAGGACACAAGGCATATCAGGCCAAAGCCTGGGTATGAGCCTGGCATTTCTGAAGTAAAAAATAGACAAAAACAAGTCAAACTTCAGTATTGGAAAGGCAGAGCCGTTTGTGAGGGACCCCAGGGTCACTTCCCGAGTCCATCTAGGGCAGTTTGTTTAAAATTGCACTGGAGTCCAACTTTGTCTATTCTACCAATATACATATATACAAGAACATTGGGAAGGGTAAGATGGGGGCCTGTGGGATGCTTAGTTGGACAAAGTACCAGCTGATCAAGCCTCACAACCAGAGTTTAATCTCCGGAGCCCGTGTTGGGGAAAAAAGAACAGACTCCTGAAATGTGTGGTCTGACGTGCGCTGTGGAGAACAGTGAAAACACAGGCTCCTCATGAGCTGAGTGTGATGCTCTCACCACCTGCCCGGCTGTGTGATAGAGTGATGTGGGTGGAGGGAAGCCATGTTCTCTGTTCTGAAGAACTTAGGCTCTAGTTAAGGGATGCAGCGTCTGTAGAATGGTAACAGGTCGGTCATGAAGTCCTGTAGGTTTGGTATGTCATCTTTCAAAACATTCATTCCTTACTATAGTGCCAAT